AACTCACCACATAATAACTCACCACACCTAACTTAAACTCACCACACCTCAATTTGGGAACTGTTTCGGGATTTTAGAGATTCTCCGGACTAAATCAGGATTCTCAAGACTATTTCGGGGTGTTCAGGGCTATTTCGGGATTCTCGAAGCTTTTTCGTAATTCTTTCGGGATTACCGGAAAATTTGTTTGGGACTTTCGTTATTTTTGGAATTAATATCGGTATTTTCGGAACTTTCGGGACCATTTCGGTATTTTTGGAACTAATTTTGGATTTTTGGGGTTTTCGGAACTATTTCGGGAATAGCAATAGCAAACGTCAAGCTGTGAGGTTGTACTTTATTGTGCTCTGATTTTGGCTTTCTACTTACTAAGTTCATTGTGCTAATTCTGTGTTAAAGTAGTGATAAAAAGTGCTTATGAGCATCAGAGTGTGAAATAATTGAAGCTAAGTGAAAGTTATTGGTTTTATATTAAAGTAAATTTAATTAAATTTCACTAGCATACATTATAATTTTGCCGAGTCATTTGTTGCTATCATTGTTGTTGTATCCTTTGTAGTTAACTTTCATTTTGTTTTTGCACATATGTTTTACTCTTTTTGTTTACTTCTTTTAGTAATTCTTGTCACAGCTGTTTGCGTTGCGTTTATTAAGTGTCATAATTACAGTGATACTCAAACTGTTCGCTACATTTATTTAAAGCTATTTACATCAGCTCCTTAATTGTTGTAATTTATTTTGTTTGTCTTTTATTAACGAGTATATTACATACATCTTTCAATATGAAGTGTGATCTTGATACTTTCCATATTAAAAGCGATTCTGAACGCTACTTATCGTGCTGGCTGTGTGATGGTATTTACCATCTGAAATGTGCTGGTTTGACGGGAAGAATTCTGGACGCTATTAATGATGGCAAGGGCCTTCGCTGGTCTTGCGGAAAGTGCAGGTCAACCGAAGTTGATCTTTTCAAGCTTTTTAAGCAAACCAGAAATGGTTTTATAGAAATAGGGAGAGAATTGTCGGTACTGACAGAAAAATTTAAGCATTATGAAAATGTGTTTAAATCATTCAAATGCTTAGATACCTTGCAATCTGTTAAGGATATCCGTGTGTCTAAACGTAAGCGTCTTCATAATCCATCTAAGGAAATTGCTGCCGTTGCACGTCAGAATAATCTTCCGACGGACTTAATTAAATTATCCTCTCCGTGTCCTCCAGCATCAGAATCCTCAGCCTCGAAAGACCGTGTAACGAAATCTGCTTCGGATAATAAAGAGCCTGAAGTATCTTCCCCTTCCCCCCCTTGAAGTGGTGGCATCATCTTCAAAGCCTCCACCGCCTTCCCTATCCTCAACTACTAACGCAGAAACTCAACCCCCTCCACCGGTAGTCCAGTCTGATACGAGGAAACTAGTTGTGGTTCCGCCAAAGAAGTCAATCTTTGTTTCTAGATATTCGAGAGACACTACCGAAGACGATATAAAGCTTTACATCTCATCAAAAATTACAACTGTCGACTTAAGCATCAGAAAATTTAATTTTAATTACGAAAGAAATATTGCTTCATTTAAAATTGACGTAAATTTAGAAAATTTTAATGCGCTGCTTAGTAGTTCTTTTTGGCCCCCCCGGAGCTTTCGTTCGTGAATTCGAATATAGGCCCAAAAAAGTAAATAACTTAGCTAATATTCCCCGTCATAACACTGAATCAAAAAAACTAATTATTAAATCTGCTTTAAGTATTTATTACCAAAATGTAAGAGGCTTAAATACTAAATTAACGAACTTATACTTTAAAGGCCTTGAATGTAATTATAATATTCTTTCTTTTACTGAAACTTGGCTGAAACCTCACATTTTCAGTTCACAGATTCTTCCAAATAATTATCATATCTATAGACAAGATAGGGAGGACAGAATCGGCGGTGGCGTACTCTTCGCTGTAGACTCTTCAATACCATCTGAAGAAGTTAGTCTTCCACACATTGATTCAGTAGAGTTTAAATGCATTCGTGTACAGGCTGGAAAAGGGTATATTTACTTAGCTCTGTGCTATATCACTCCCCGATCTGACACATTGGTGTATTCACGACTCATCTCTTTACTGAAATCAGTTAATTTACTGACTAAACCTTCTGATTCAATGATTATGTTGGGTGATTTTAATTTACCAAGCATATCATGGAACATCATTGACAATGATATCATACCTTTCGCGTCTAGTGCGTGCAACAACGTATTTTTAGAAGAGATGGCTGAACTCTGCCTAACTCAGGTTAATGTACTTCACAATAAGTTTGGTAAAGTATTAGATCTTGTTTATGTTGATGATGCATCTAAATCCGTTGTAAATAAGTGTGATCCACTAGTTTTGCCCGAAGATGTCTACCACCCTGCTATGGAGGTATCTTACGAAGTTATAAGTGATGGTGAAAATTGCAGTACCCAAGCATACGAGCCAAATATTCGCTTTGATTTTTCGAAAGCCAAATTTAAAATGCTTAACAAAGAACTGTCTAAATTGTCGTGGCCTGCATTTAAAGAAAATATTGAACAAAGCGTTGCACTTTTTAACTTTACTTTACATAAATTATTTGAAAAGCATGTGCCTAAACGTATGTATGTTCCTGAAGAGCAAACAAAGTTATGGTTCACTAAAGAACTGAGAAATTTGAAAAACAGAAAGTCGCGTTATTTTAGATTACATAAATAAACCGGTTTACACTCATACTATGTAAAATACTCACTTTTGCGTCAAAAGTTTTTTGAATTAAACAAAAAGTGTTATAAAGGTTACTTGTGTAAAATCAAACGACGTATAATATATAACCCCAAATCATTTTATGACTTCGTAAACTCCAAGCGAAATGTACGTGGGTTTCCTTCCGCCATGAAGTATCAACATACTGCCTCTAGTGATAATCAAACAATTTCTAACGTGTTCGCTCAGTTTTTTAAATCCAATTATTCCAATAACTCACATGCTAACATTGATTATCCTTTTAAACTATGTCCAATGAACTCAATAAATATCCCAGTAATATCTCCCGATGATGTAGTAGTTTATCTGAAATCCTTAAAGCAGTCCTTCAGTTATGGTCCTGACCAGGGCCCTTACTCTGTAGTTCGATTCGAAAGAAAATTTGTTCGCTTTCGAACGATTGGTACTCTGAAAGCACCTTTCGAGTAACATTCGTTCGATGTTCGAATTCCATTCTGTTCCCTTCGAATTTTCTTTATCCCCTTTCGAATTTTCGAAAATTTGGTACTCCCTGCATCGAAAGCAAATGTCAAAATGGTGGAATTGTAGAAAATTCTATTCGACAGCAACCAAGCACTCGGACGTCCGCAAAAATGTAAGTAATTGCAATAATATTTGTGAAAATATGTATTTATTTAATCAAAAAAATAATTTTTAGGACAACGAAAATCAAACAACCAAATACCAAGCCTCGACAATTTGAAATATTGGTAAATTTTATGATGGAACACAGCGATTTGGCGAAAGGTCAAATTAAGGGTTTAGCTGCAAAGCAAACCTCTAATAATCTGTGGAAGAGGCTAGAAAATGAGCTTAATTCAGGCGGACCTCCAACTCATAACTTCACTGAATGGTAAAAGGTAACAAATTTATTATGTTTTTGTGTACCATATTGTAAAACGTTATAATTTTTTTTATGTAGATATGGGCAGATTATAAAAGCAATATTAAGGCGAAGTTGCGAAGGAATAAGGAGAGCATGTCGGGAACAGGAGGTGGACCATCGAGATTCTGTTCATTAACTGCGACGGAAGAAGAAGTGGTTGCGTTACTGAACATAGATGCATCTATAAATGGCGAGGCTGAAACAATGCGCTTTGGTGCTACTACCTTCGGCGATCCTGCATCATCTAGCCCACTTGATTGTATAAACTTGGAGCCTGAAGAATATCCAAGTAATGATGCAGAGAATCAGCCACCGAATGCTATCGCCACTACGCCACCGATTGTTATTGCACCCCCGAATCGCGCACGCTCACTATCACTCGGCAAAGACAATTTGCTAAAACTGCAAGTGGAAAACCAATGCCAATATCACGAAAATTCGATGAAAAAGCTGGACGAAGTATGTGATAATTTAAATAGTTTAAGTAGATATTTTAAGAGGAATGTTGAGCTCGAAGAGGCTTAACTTCAATTAAAACGAGAAAAATTTGAATTTTTCAAAAAAAATGAAAAAAAGAAAAGAAAACTGAAGTTAAAAGCACTGAAGCTAAAAGCTAAACTTTGTAAATAGTTGATTTAAGTGTAGTTATTTTTACGAATTCATATTTTATAAGTTTTTTGTTCCTTTGAAGACTGATGAATTGTTTTTTAAGTTATTTATTTTTTAAATAGCAGATTAAGGTACAGCAGTTGCTTGGTTGTATTAATCAAAAATAATGAATATTTTTTATTTTTATGATAATTTCAAATCCAAGCAATCAATGAATTAGTTGTATGTAATTTTTTGTTGAATTGTTACCTGTGAATGAAAAGGCTAATGAATATTTTTACATTTTTTTTATATACCAATGAAACTAAACTATATTTTGTGTCTTAGGTTCTTAGAAATGTTTTACATATGTAATTTTATAAAATGAAGACTGAAAAAATACTTTTATTTTATTTATTTATTGTTGATATTTTTACAATATTCGCAATGTTTTTAATTCTGAAACTTTTTTAATACATTTTTTAAAAAAGTAAAGCTGATTATCTAACAGAAATCATAGAAATCTAAGTTGTAAACTTGTGTCAAAATTAGGAAAATATCAACAAATTTTCATACAAATAGCCAACTTTTTTACTAAAATTACTTGAAAAAAATTTGGCCTGTTAAACTTAAATATAATGTGGAAGTTCGAAGTCCATAAAAAATTCCGTTGATTTTTGATAACTTTCTTTGCGGTGTTGTGCATTTTCTTCCATATAAAAATATATACTTTGTATGGAAAAAAATGTCCAAGACCGTCAGCAAAGAAAGTTATCAAAAATCAACGGAATTTTTTATGGACTTAGAACTTCCACATTATATTTAAGTTTAACAGGCCAAATTTTTGTCAAGAAATTCTAGTAAAAAAGTTGGCAATTTGTATGAAAATTTGTTGATATTTCCTAATTTTGGCACAAGTTTACAACTTAGATTTATACGATTTTTTTTTAGATAATCAGCTATACTATTTTAAAATATTTACAAAAAAATTTCAGAATTAAAAACATTGCGAATATTGTTAAAATATCACTTTATGATTTGATTTTGAGCTACTATGTATACACACACTTGAATTAATAAAATATTTTGCTACACCTATGCAATTAAACTGTTTCTTATTTCATCTCTTAAGTTCCTAGAAATATTTGCTGTACTTCTTGCTGTCCGCTTCCACCATATTCACAGTTTCTAATAAATGTACATCTTCTGTGGGAAAATCTTCTGAAGGTTGCAGCTCAGCTTTAAATTGCAGACAAATGTTGTGCAAAGCGCAGCAAACGTTCATTATAGCTGAAACCTTTTGCGGAGTATAATGCAGCTCGCGTGCTGCCAAAGGACATCGAAACCTTCCTTTCAATATTCCAAATACTCGTTCGATGATTGACCGTCCTTTGGCATGGCAGTGATTAAACCGGCCTCCCGCTGAATTTTCGGCGGCATTACGATAGGGAGTTAACATCCATGGTTCCAATGGATATCCTGAGTCGCCTTAAATAATTTGAATGCAAATATTAATATATTATCGATATTAAAGTATTAATTGATGCTAACCAAGACTCCATATCCCTCTCTCGCCATTATCAAAACGAGCTTTTAAAGCCCTTCTCTCACTGGACAGGTTCCATACATGGGAATCATGGCATGCACCACCGTATCGCGCGTCAACAGCTCTAATTCTCATCTTGTGGTCACACATCTAAGAATTTTAATTTGAAAAATTGTTGTTGAAAACCTTCATGATAATGCAATACTTACAACCATTGCATTCATACTGTGCTTCAGTTTTCTATTGTATTACAAATGCTCATTCCTTGTTGGTCTTATCATTTGTATATGTGTGCCATCTATTGCAAACAACACGCCCGGAATGCCACACTTTTCATAGAAGTATAATTTCGCCTCTGTTTCCTCTGCGTCCGTACTTGCAAAATTAATGTGTTGTTGGAAAAGCGTTTTCTCAATGGCTTTGCACACTTCAATAAGGCAGCGTGACATTGACTGCTGAGAAAGGCCTACGTGTTGGTCTTGGCCAATTTGGTGTTGGTAACCTCCTTGCCCCAATAATTTCAGTGCGGCGGCCAGCTTAATAATGGGCGGAATTGCTGTGGATTTTCGATTTCCTTTTACCATTTATCATTGAGAGTGAATATGTTGGCCTTATCCCTAAGCGCTCTCAATTGCACTCGTTCCGCCACTTGGCCTTCATCTGCTTCCAACCATATCGCCACTGAATCCATTTGGTAATTTTTTTTATCAAGGACTTTCACTAATATTAAATATATTTAACACAACAATTACTGAGTTCTTAAGTGCACAAACTTCACAATCGAAATGTTAGCAATTTCATCTTGTTTTGATTTTAGTTTCTTTCTTTATTTTGCTTTGCGTTTGACGTTTGGCGAACAGTGTTGCTCTCTTTTTTCGAATATCTTCGAAAGTTGATTCGAACGAACTATGGAGTACGAATGGGGCTTCGATTCGAATTTGGCTTTCGAATAGAACAACCTTTCGACTCGAACTACAGAGTAAGGGCCCATATCCCTACTTGTATTCTTATAAATTGTTCTGATTATCTCTATGAGCTGTTAACAGCGATATTTAATTTATCTCTTAAAGAGGGCGTTTTTCCAACTATATGGAAGGAATCGTTCATAACCCCGTTACATAAAAGCGGTAGCAGATCTTCAGTGGAGAACTACCGGGGAATAGATAAGCTTTCTGCAATTCCTAAATTATTTGAAGCAATTATAACAAATCAGTTGACGCATTCTATCTCTTCTAGCATTTCATATAGTCAACATGGATTTTGCAAGGGCAAATCAACTTCTACAAATTTACTTAAATTAACATCCCATATCTCAAAAGCATTTAGTGAAAGCAAAACTGTTGATGTTATATATACTGACTTCAGTAAAGCATTTGACAAAGTGTGCCTCTCGTTGCTCATCTACAAACATGATCTTCTTGGTCTTCCACCTAATTTTCTACGTTGGATCTCTTCTTACCTCTATGATAGATCACAAAGGGTAATGTTTAAAAATACCTAGGCCCGGTTCTGTTCTTGCATTTTATAAACGATATTTCGATTTACTACAATCAGACTTAGACAGCATGGCTTACTGGTGTCAAGTAAATCTTATGCCTCTAAATCTTAAGAAATGTAAAGTAATCAGCTTCTCGCGAAGAGCTGTTCATCCCGCTTCTTACACAATAGGTAACCATAACCTGGAACAGGTATATAATTTTGTGGACCTTGGTATCACAATGGATCCTAAGCTTAATTTTAATTTTCATATTCATGTGACAGTCAACAAGGCTAAAGGTGTACTTGCATTTGTGAAACGAGGGTCAAAAGAATTTTGTGACCCTTATATCACTAAAACCCTGTTTACAACATTAGTTAGGCCAATTCTGGAATACGGTTCGGTGGTTTGGAATCCAAGGTATCAAATTTACTCAGACAAGATAGAATCAATTCAAAAACAATTCCTACTTTTTGCTTTAAGAAATTTCCGTTGGGATTCTCAATATAACCTTCCACCTTATGCGAGCCGATTAAAACTTATTAATCTTCCTACACTTTCCAGCCGCAGGCAAATGCTTGGTAAAATTTTTATAGATAAATTACTAACAGGCTCAATTTCAAGTCCGCTTCTTCTTGGCGAAGTTAGCCTTAATTTTCCCTCCCGGGTATCAAGACACTTTTGCCCCCTATTTCTGAAAGCTTGTAAAACTAATTTTGAATTGCACAACCCACTCCGTTGCTTATGCCAGGATTTTAACTCTCATTCCAGCACGTTTGATATATCAGATCCGCTTTTCAGCATTAAGAAATCGATACTGTCCTCTCTCAATAAATGAATCATTAAAATAAAGACATAAAATCGGCTGATGAATTTAGTTCTGTAGCTGAACATTTGGGTGGGCTTTCCAAAACCGAACCAATCGAAATTTCAGCGAAAGTATAAGGAATTTCGTCATGAAACTTGGTGAGGATGTTGGGGGAGGCCTCCTCAACATGAATTGTTCACTCTCACAATATAATTGCTAATAGTATTTTACCAATTTGTTGTTAAATAATGTCCAGTATCACCCCCTACTTTTTTTAAAATATGCCACTTATCACTTATATTTTGTGTTACATATTATATTTTCAATGCTCACATGCGTATTTTATGCTTTTATTATATACAATTCACCAATTAATTAAGTAAAACGCGTTTATAAATTTGTGTTCACGTTTTACCACTTTTCACAAACAAACAGAAATAACAATGGGCGACAGTAAGAGCAAATATGTGCTGCCATACGTTTTAAAAGTAAATACGCCACTATCAAAGGATCGCGCGGATTAAATCGCGCGATTTTATATAAAACACCCAGTAACCATATAATAATATAGTTCCATATATATCGAAAATTTTTAACAAAAAATCGCGCGATTTTTTATTATAAATTTTCGCCTGCGGCGCTTTATATTCTAAAAATCGCTACTTCCATAAATAATGAAAATTTTTAATTAAAAATCGCGTGATTTTTTATTAAAAATTTTCGCCTGCGGCGCTTTATATTCTAAAAATCGATACTTCCATAAATAAAGAAAATTTTTAATTAAAAATCGCGCGATTTTTTATTAAAAATTTTGGCCTGCGGCGCTTTATATTATAAAAATCGATACTTCCATAAATAATGAAAATTTTTAATTGAAAATCGCGCGATTTTTTATTAAAAATTTTCGCCTGCGGCGCTTTATATACTAAAAATCGATACTTCGATGAATAATGAACATTTTTAATAAAACATCGCTTTTTATTATAAAATCGATACTTCGATAAATTATGCAACTTTTTAATCAAAAATCGACCAATAAATAATTAAATTTTTTTATTAAATATCGCGCGATCATTATCTGCATTTTTTTATTGCTTCCGTTTTGTGTTTTTGATGCATTTTTTCATATGTATGGCAGCACTGACATTTCACTTCAATTGGTGTACAAAGCAAAAGGTGAGGTTAAATTCGGTATTTTTTGCAACTTTAAATGCGAATTACTTTAAAACTATACGCCTCCGGAGGGTGGGGTCTTCAGATTTAGAATCTGAAAACGCTCCTCTATACTCCCTAATATTTTTTTTTTCAAAGCCTGGATCCGTTTTGGAAAATTTTCCCGAACATTTTTAGATCTCGACACTTGACAAACTCCTGCCTATCGTGACTCGGCGCAAAAATTGAAAATACTGATTCCGTACGTCATGCGGACTGCGCCCCTCGTGCGGATGGGCGGGAATGGAGGGTAAAAACCGTTGGGATATTATTATTATGGGCAAGAAGACATGTATGTTAATTCATAAAAAAAAACTCTTCAAACTGCGCCTAACACGCCAATAACAAAGATTACTTAATTACCTTCTTTTTTAGATCATTGCGTCTATAGTTCATGTTTAGTTTTAGTGGTAATTCTCTAGGGTGGGGTAACAACCCCTAAAAAAGGTGCGGAAAAGTGGGGAGGGGTACCAAACGACGCGTTTCGGCCCCCCTAATAACAATCCGGAGGGGGCAGATAATATTATTAACCATTTAAAAGTTATGAACAAAAAACTTTTGTTAAATTTCGTTGTTTTCTATGAGCAATTACCACATCAAAAATGCACTAAATCACCAGTTTCCACTTTTAAAACACTACTAAAACGTTTCCGGTTATTATTTTATGCAAACCAAATCATTTATTCACTTTTATTTTATATATTTCGTTAATAAAACAGAGTAAACAAACTTTGCGCCTGCTAAAATTATTATAACCTCAAATCGCTGGTATTGCCACTTATTTCACATTTCATTTGCGCTATTATACTCAGTTTACACTATACACTTCTTCTTCTTTTTCTTTTTACTTTCATCTAAATAAGATATTGTAACCAAAATATAATAGCAAATTTCGCTATACCATCGCGCGGTTTTTTATTAAAAATTTTCATTATTTATCGAGGTATTGATTTTTATGGAAAAAGCGCCGCAGGCGAAAATTTTTTATAAAAAATCGCGCGATTTTTTATTAAAAATTTTCGCCTGCGGCGCTTTTTCCATAAAAATAAATACTCCGATAAATAATGAAATGCATAAAATAATAACCGGAAACGTTTTAGTAGTGTTTTAAAAGTGGAAGCTGGTGATTTAGTGCATTTTTGACGTGGTAATTGCTCATAGAAAACAACGAAATTTAACAAAAGTTTTTTGTTCATAACTTTTAAATGGTTAATAATATTATCTCCCCCCCTCCGGATTGTTATTAGGGGGGCCGAAACGCGTCGTTTGGTACCTCTCCCGACTTTTCCGCACCTTTTTTAGGAGTTGTTACCCCACCCTAGAGAATTACCACTTAAATTGTTTTAACCAAAACCGAAAATTTGTTTGTGAATATATTCATTGGTCGGTGCTGTCAATTGAAATTTGAAATTTAGAAACGAAAAAAAACAGAGTTGATCTCAAATTGATCCAGTTTTCTATCAGTATCTCATCGATGTTGAATTTGCGCAACTTTTCTTTTTCCAAATAATGTAAAATAATAAATGAAATCTCGATCGGCGATCACTGAAACGCAGCTAGCAACTGTATACGCGAAAAAGCAATGTGGCCACCTTTTCTCATTAAACCATTTTCGAATCGGGGATATATTTGAAGATCACAGGGTTGCTTTTACCATTTAGACTCTTAATGCAAAAATAGAGTTGCATTTAGTTACATTTACGTGACGAATTTTGTGTTGACGAATTAGAGCTAAATGTGCTTTTACGCGTAAGCAAAAACAGCCCATTATATGCGTATATAAAAAGTAAATATGTGA